TAGGAAGGCGGAGCTAAAACTTTTCCTACGCATGCTTAAAAATAAGTGTACCCAAGTTCCTGTTTTTCATTTACCAATCATCTAATCTAGGGCGGATAAGACGGCCAGCATGAGGTTCTCAGTCTCACTCCCTCGAAGATGCCCTCCGCAGGAAAGATCCCCTCACGTGGGTGCTAAGACTAGGTCGGGATCGGGGAAACTAACTTTGGCTGAACCATCCGAATCCGATGCTTCCGCTAAGGCAGCTAAGTCTTTATCATTCTCTGATCTTGGAATGTAGGGGTAATCTTAATCGGAGGCTAGAGCTTAATCTTCCTTTTCCATTCGTCCTATACTATAAAGTATGGAACTTCGGAAGGAAAAGAGCTTCTTACTGCCTCGGTCTTAGCCCAAGAACTGCTTCCCTGGTACCTTTTCCCCTTTTCCATCCCGGCGCTTGGCTTGTGGAAGGGCTACTCTTGAAAGGCTGACTTTAAAGGTATATTCTGGAAAGTCGCCCTCGACCCCCGTAACGCAACTAACCGTTTTATCTACGACCTACCGAGCACTGAGCGAATCACTTGACTAACGGTAACGGGCTCCACTAACTGACTTCACTTTTGAGCGTACCCAACTCCCGAAAGAGATAGATGGAACTAAACCTGTACTAGCTCTAACGTCTCTATCTGGTCCTTGCTCTGATCGACTTGCCCGGAGTCTCGGTTCCCTTCCTTGAACCGCCGGAAGCGCTGATCTCAACAGATTCTCCATCTGCACAGCCGCTTGAAAGACTCACTTCTTTTATCCTCTTTCACACTTTAAAGAGCTTGCTTTAAAGACTGAACCTGCGAAAAAGAGTTTCCTAACGAAACTAGCTATGGTAACTGCACTCCCGGTTTAGTCTTTATGATCCCCTTCCCCGTAAGCTACGTTGGCCTGTTCCTCGAGTCAGTATTCGGATCTGTCTCCTGGCTCTAGTTTAAGGTCCGTTTAGTACTTCTCGCTTTAAAGGGGAAGAGATAGATCGCTTACAGCAAACGGAGGAAAAGCCCCATAGAGTAAGGCTATTTTCGAGTGAGCCGAGCCATTTTATCATTTTATTACCATCATCAGCCGCCGTCTCTCGTGAGTTGCTATGTTGTGCAATGGACCTATAGGGTATACCCCCTACCTATGAAGGTCCTGCTCGTGCTTGCACCAGGTTATCTCCGACTCCCACTGCCAGGAGTGGAGGGGATAAGAAGGACATATCCTCAAAGTTTCTCGATCCCGCTCTCCCCACTCGCAATCTGATTTTTGACTCATTACATTCTTCTTCTGCTGAAATGCTATGGACGTCACACACAATCTAGAAAACGACTCAAAGTGTCAGTTGTGAACTCAGACCTTGAGAGAAGCCGCAGTTGACTGCTATTTCGGCCTAGACGATCCTTAGACGCACAAGGCGCTTCGAATTGTACAAGTCAGTCGTTCCTGGCGCTGTTTGGAGTAGTGCAAGATGAGGGCGAGGTCATGGACAAGTGAACGTCCATGCCTGCATCGGAAAGAGTCAAGCAGTACCTGGCGCGCTTCAAGGCGCAGCCCAACTCACGAGAGACGATGGCGACACGTTGATTGAATAAGAAGTGGTTCGTGAATGGACTTTTTCTGTCTATCCGAGACCGAGTCAATCTCTTCCACCCGGACTGGAGCAAGTGGGGGCGCAAGCGACGAGCCTAGAAACAAAAGACCGTTCAAAGCCCCTATCGAATGAATAAGGGGAGAAGGAGGCGTTCGATGTTTCAAATCTCAAGAAGGACGTGCTCAGAATGGCCAAAGACGTCGTGCAAGATGCGGCAGAGAAAAGCAAAAGCAACGACTGGTGCCCTAAGTGTAAGACCAGTGGAAACTGCCTGGCCGACTGCAAGCAACAAGGGGCGGAGCGTGTCTTACATTTTTTAGAAGGAAAATCACAGGCCGACTGCAAGTATCACCCAAATAATAAGGCACAGCAGACCACATACCAGGCGCAAGAGGATAAAGGCGCCCGAGGCATTCTCGCAAAAGAAAGGGTTTTCAATTCAAGGTTCCCGCTCTCATGCTCCCAAGGCATGTTGATGAACTATTCCATCTGTATATTCTATTTATGCTTTGGGCGAGTCCTTCTGAGCCTTCCTTTCTTTTGAGGAAGAGTCAAGATGGAAAGAAGGATCACAACGACCGACGTAATTGATTTAACATTCTGGTTAGGTTTCATCAGCCTGGTTAGAGGTTTGCCTGAGGGCTGCGTTATCGTTATATTCTCTATACTCCCCGGCCTTGTCCCATGCATCAGGAGAAAGGGCTCGCCGATCTCGGTGGTTTGCTTCTTTGCCCGGTTCGTACTTACTTTCGGAGCGAGCAAAAGCGTACTTTGGGGCAAAACCCTGGCTCTGCAGTGCGTTATTTGATTGGTGGGGCATCTTGGCCTCACCTTACCTGGAGGAATTCCTTTGATCTTCGAGCCGATTCTCACGTTTAGGTTGGTCTTTCGAATTAAAGTGTCGATTGGTTTGTGTGAAGCCACCTAATTTCACTCCTTTTATGCAGCATTTCGGCTGTAAACTCTATTACCTTTCCCAGACACTGAGGTTCGCTAGCCATCTTCCATTGACGAGTTGACACCCGCCAAGGAGAAAGAAACCTTAAAAGGCGGAGACCCCTTAGGAATGTCATTCGATTCCCTTCCTCCGACGCCTAGAAGTTATGACCCCAATGCTCGTTGTGAGTTTCATATGGGTGGAATAGGACACTGGACCAACCGATGTTTCAATCTAAGGCATAGAATCCAGGATCTAATTGATGCAGGCCTACTCAGGTTCGAGAAGGACGAAAGCAAGGTTAATCAGAATGCATCTCCAGTAAAGAAAGGGAAATGTTGAAGGAAGCCCGCAGACCGATGTAGTCACTAAAGGGAGAGAAGGGTTGGACTCGTCACTGTTAACATCCTCTCCTTTAGCAAGCGATCCATTCCCAGAAGCTGGCGTCACCCAAGCCCAAAGGTATGACGACAATAGAGCGGAACCGTCTGTGGTTGACTCCTATGGGGTCCAAGTTCGAGAGATTCTGACAGGGCAGGTACAGGAAAAGCCCAACTTCGGAAACAGCTCTGAACGTCATAAAATAGTCTCTCAAATGTCATATCCGGACATCGCTACAACAGCGCTGGCTCCACTCCCACTTACCAAGACCTCTGAAGGAAAAGTAGCTTCCCCCTATCCTAAGTAAATTGCTTTTATTTGGTGTGGTTGTTCTTCCTCGAATATAAGCTCTAGATCGAATTGAGGGTGACTTCTTCCGCTGACTAAGGCGCTTCGCTTGTGCGTTTTCAACATCCATTGCTTCTGACTATGTCGATGAAAAAGACTTTTGTGGGACCGGGAAGACACCCCACCGCTAGGGCTTGCTTTTCTCTCGCTTGCTCCCACGTGTCTTCCCCCCAAAAATAGTGAAAGATCTTTCACTTCACCATAGCAGGGACCTCGCTAACCTTCTCGGCCAGTTACTCTAACCACCGGGGTCCCCTCCACCCGAATATGAGTTGGACCCTTGTGAGCTACCCGAATCGGGCATCATGGAATTTCCAAGAAAGGCTGTGCTCTGGGCAGCAAGGAAAACCCGAATAATAATCCTAATCGCCAAGACAAGCTCCTTTGATAACCCCATCGTTAGCAAACAAAAAGATATGCAGTTAAAAACTAGAGAGAAATCCTACGAAACATTGCCTGAAAGAAGTCAAGAGAACCCAGTATCAGAAAAAGAATATAGAAGAGCCCTAGTGATGTAAAAATTATAATGACTGAAAAGCAAAAAGGCCGTATCCGAGGCAGTTTTTTATAAAAATCTTTCAAGAACATATCCATATGACTATCCTTCTTAGTTGAATAGGCTCTATAACAGAAAAAATAAGAACATCTCAGGTAAGGCTCATTAAAGCTTGCCTCAGCTAGTATGCACCCTTTATGAGCTTTCTTTGATTTCTCTTCGCATGGGATTCGATTCAAAGATTGTTTGTAACTCAATCTGGGTTTTTTTTGATTAATTTATGCTGAGAAGGAGTCACATCTGCTGAATGAGGTTTGGCATATCTGGGCTTCCGCTGTCGCATATGTGCTGTCACTGTACTAGGAAGAAGGGCTTTAGTTAGGCAGCGAATCTTCATTGAAGTGATGTTAGCTAGGTCCTTTCCTCGAGCCAGTCTTGAAGCAGGAAGTCTTTTACCTGGATACCCGCTTGAAAATGACGTAGAGAGAGTGTTCGAGAACGTCTCTGTGCGGTTTCTTGGTTCCAAGTAGCGATGAAAGTCAAACCACTAGCACAGCGTGCAAACGTTGTTGCCATGTTTGATAGTTTGGCAAACTAGCTCCTGAGACCGGGAGTCTTTGGTTGTGAACGTGATCGGGACCAGGCTAGTTGGCTCAGCAACATAGTTGTTTGGTAACTGGCAAGCACAAGGTAGTGGGGGGATTAGAAAGCTCCTCTTATCTTTGAGATCATACGGGCGGACACTTGGTGCTGGTATGGGGCATATTCGAGTGCCCCGCCGCCAGCATCGCTCTTCTCTCCGAACAGAAGCAACTCTGTAGGGAGGAGAGCCTGCCGATCGAGCGAAGGGATCCATACGGCTTTCAGGGGGAGCTGCTTTTACTGCCTACTGGTATTTAAGTAGCGGACGTGTTGAATTCATTTTCATTCAGATTCATTCAAGCCGGGAAGTGCAAGCTTTGCGAACCAAAAAAGCCTGCCGATGAAACCCGTTCCCTCGTGCTTCCATTAACGACAGATACATCAGTAGAGGTCGGCCAAGCATGATCAAGGCAGGTGAGCCCTTCCCGCTAACCAAAGGCAGAAATTAAGAGAAACTTGGACTGGACCCATGGAAACAAAGTGAGAATTCCCGCTCCGACCAGGGTAGACAACACCTGAGTTAACACTACGCAACCGAACTGATCATGGGCCAGAACACCCCTATTGGGCGACAAAGTGGACCTTTACCCGAAGCG